CCCTGGTGAAGAAAACACCCTTCACAACAGTTGGCCAGATCAAGAACATTCTCCAGGAGGTAGGTGTATGTGTGTCAAAGTCAACAATCAAGAGAAGACTTCACCAGAGTGAATACAGAGGGTTCACCACAAGATGTAAACCATTGGTGAGCCTCAAAAACAGGAAGGCCAGATTAGAGTTTGCCAAACGACATCTAAAAAAGCTTTCACAGTTCTGGAACAACATCCTATGGACAGGTGAGACCAAGATCAACTTGTACCAGAGTGATGGGAAGAGAAGAGTATGGAGAAGGAAAGGAACTGCTCATGATCCTAAGCATACCACCTCATCAGTGAAGCATGGTGGTGGTAGCGTCATGGCGTGGGCATGTATGGCTGCCAATGGAACTGGTTCTCTTGTATTTATTGGTGATGTGACTGCTGACAAAAGCAGCAGGATGAATTCTGAAGTGTTTCGGGCAATATTATCTGCTCATATTCAGCCAAATGCTTCAGAAGTCATTGGACGCCGCTTCACAGTGCAGATGGACAATGACCCAAAGCATACTGCAAAAGCAACCAAAGAGTTTAAGGGAAAGAAGTGGAATGTTATGCAATGGCCAAGTCAATCACCTGACCTGAATCCGATTGAGCATGCATTTCACTTGCTGAAGACAAAACTGAAGGGAAAATGCCCCAAGAACAAGCAGGAACTGATGACAGTTGCAGTAGAGGCCTGGCAGAGCATCACCAGGGATGAAACCCAGCGTCTGGTGATGTCTATGCATTCCAGACTTCAGGCTGTAATTGACTGGAAAGGATTTGCAACCAAGTATTAAAAAGTGAAAGTTTGATTTGTGATTATTCTGTCCCATTACTTTTGGTCCCTTAACAAGTGGGAGGCACATATGCAAACTGTTGTAATTCCTACACCGTTCACCTGATTTGGATGTAAATACCCTCAAATTAAAGCTGACAGTCTGCAGTTAAAGCACATCTTGTTTGTTTCATTTCAAATCCATTGTGGTGGTGTATAGAGCCAAAAATGTTAGAATTGTGTTGATGTCCCAATATTTATGGACCTGACTGTAGCTGAAGCTAAATACAGCATACAACACTGTGCTGTGGTTCAAGTGGAGGCTTTCCTGTCTCAGCCCCGGAACACAATAGTCTCTGAGAGGTGCTCAGCCACTCCTAGAAAGCAATGTATTCTATCAGTGAATACAAAGCTTCCTCTGATTGGCTGAGTCCCAGTTTGTGACATCATCAACCTGCCTATTTGACTGTAAACTGTACCAAAAGCTGGAGTTCAGCTTTAAAGTGGTTGTAAACCAAAGACGTGATATGAATAAAGCATATCCCTCTATGGTGTGCACTTGTCTCAAGAGCAGTAAATGTAATTTCTGCCTGCTGCTTTGTTCCTCTATCAGCATGAATCACTTTTGTCAAGTTTTCCTGACCCAGAAAAAAAAGGTGACGGGAGTGAACTTGAGCACACAGCCTGTGACTGACAGCCTCAGCTCTGTTCCTGTGTGCTGTGTAAAGGGGGATGTACCTTTTCCTTCCAATCAGCTCTCAGAGCTCTCCCCACTGAGCTCTACAGTGTGTAATTAAAGTTCTCTGGCGCTTTTTTGTGAAAGCTCAGACAAGCTGTCAAAATTACCGATTTTGAATGTAAAGAAGAGAAGACAAACAGAAAAACAGGTTCAACTTATGTTTGAGGATTTTTTTCCATCTCTGTGGCCAGTCACTTCACTGGGTATATGCAAGAGTTTACAACCACTTTAATGGTAGTTCTGTTTTTAACCCATTGAAGGGAAGCGTGGTCATACTGGCTTTTACATGCTTAGCAGTTTTCAGTATGCACATACATTTATCTCAGAACTACCAGCTCACATTCAACAGCTTTGTCAAAATATTTTAATGTTGTAATGGTGCAAATATGAATTGCAGAACTGACAGCTTGCAGTTATACACTTTGTGCACAAAATGATTGCTGCTTCCCCTGCAAATGTTTCACTGCTATTCTCAACCTATTTCACCAATGTACTTTGACTACAGTGGCCATGTAACCTTAACTGTCCATTTTTGTATTCTTAAGCAATTCAAATGTTAGAATAAATAGCCAGTTCTAGATGTGCTTAGGTTGGAAGGGGTATTTAGTCACAAAATCTTGTAGGTTGCTGCTTACACCATTGAACAGCACCTGTAGTAACCCACTTTGTAGCTCTGAGTAGACACTCTGCATGCTGCTCCTGAGAAAGGAGAATCAGACTAACCACACTACTCTTCTCTGTCCTTTTGGTGGAGTCGGTTTGTGTGTTGCTCTCTGATAACCACTATGTGTATTTGCTGCCCTCATTTAATGCTGCTCAGACTGTCATTGGAGGTTATGACCATCCTTTGTCGCTGCGAGAATATTGAGACATCGGAGGGGGTCCCTCTGTTCGTAACAGGGGTTGCACAGGTAATCAACTTCCAGCTTCCTAACTCTTTTTTGCTCTGTTTCCTGTTTTGTTTTATTATAAGCAGCTACATCGGCAAGAGGATCCTCCATTAACAATAATAACCATATTTTTCTACATATTCCAGGCTTAATCTTTGAACTTTCCTTCCTATGCATTCTATCCCCTTTCCCTGTATGTCCAGCAGTCACCTTTGGATGTAATGTGAAGCTCTTAGACAGTTTGCAAAGTTTTTGTAATCCAAAAAACAGAATCAATGTCTTGAAGTTACCTCCTAGTTAGACTCTTGAAGTAAGGCAGATAACAATATGCATTTTGTTGTAATACTCGGTAAGGTATCAAGTAGCCTTTGGTTGTACTGACTTTCTAAATCTAATGATGCTTGTGTGCCATTTACTAACAAGACACTACAACATTGATATGTGCAAGATTGGGAAGAGACACTTTTTAAAGCGAAACTTCACCCAAAAGGCCAAGTTCCGCTTTTCCTCCTCCTTACGCTGACATATTTGACGCATCATTTTTTTTTGGGGGGGGGAGGGGAGCAGGTACCTGGTTTTACACGTACTCATTCCATTTCCACTTGTCTCGCCTAGGCGATCTGAATGGAAGTTCTCCAACCACTGTCAGCATTTTTCTGGGATACATTGCAGGTCCCAGAAGGCTGCGGGACCATTTACGCAGTGCTCGCGCATGCAGTGGGGAGCCGACTGTGAAGTCTCAAGCAGTCACAGCCTAGCTGATTACTTTTTTCATTTTTGCACACGTGACTGAAGAGCTGGTTTAAGTGAAATAGACTGTTCCTTTTCCCTTCATTTATACCACTAAGATCACCCACTAACTCTTGTCAAATATTTTTTCCACTAATCCAACTCCTTTGTTTTTTTTTTTTTTTTTTTTTTTTTTTTTTTTTTTTTTTGTGCCTATGCAGTGAAAGCCACATGACTTTTCTTAGGTTAAAGTTGAACTCCAGAGAAGATATATTTTGCATATTCACATTGTACAAGTATGCATATGTGATACTTGATCAGCTTCTATTGAAGATGTAAGTCACTGTGGTAGCCTGAGCTACTGCAGTGATGGCCGTGAACTTTTGGGTGCCATGATGAGCAGATGCCCTTCACCACAGTGGGTGCTTGGTGTGGCCACCATTTGGAGAATGCCTTATGTTTTTCATAATGAGTTCAAAGTGTTCTCTGATTGAATGAAGAGGGGCAGTGATGTCACAATCTTCACCTTGTCCAATTGGAGATCATTTTCCATTCATTAAAAAATGTAAGGTGCCCTTTGAATGGCAGCCTTGCTGAGTCAGGCAGTGCCAGTGGTTGCTTTGCCAGAAAGACAGAATGCCTGGTACAGCACCTGTAAGATCACGGCCATCACTGTAGATGGCTCAGGCACGATGACATACGCATACCTACAATACCCTTCTGATTGCGGCTGAAAATGTCCTACAAGCTGTGCTTATATTTGTCAAATCACTTGCAAGCATGGTGCTATAAATGGTGATGTCCATACTATGCTATACTAGCTATGTTAGATGTTAAAAGTTCATTGAGACTGAGCGTTCAGAAGCCACATTGGTTGCTGGATGTGGATGGACAGATTTAATTTCCTTAGGTCTTTGTTTAGAACAACCTTTTGTTCCCTCCATAGCTTTAAAACTCATACAAGATAAAATGGAAATGCAGTTACATTTTTTAAGTGCTCAGCCTTCTCTGTCAGTCTTGTACTCCCCTGTCTAGAGTCCATTGAGACCTCTGCTGTGTGGCCTCCCATGCTCTGCGCAGCCTCCTGTTAGATTCTTCTCTGTATTTTGTCAGACGTCTGCAGACTAATGAAAGCCTTGAGTGTCCTAGAAAAAGAACCCATTAATTCATACAAGCTGCATAGAGTTGTCTCCCTGAAGCTATGTGTACATTTGCAGTGTTTGGTCAGTATCAGTAAGTTTAAATTTTGCATTTCTCATATTTTGTTTTTTAGAGTGATTTTTAGATCGCATTGACAATCAGATAAACCATTTTGAAACATAAGAGGTTTAAGATCAACTCCTGAAACTTTTGAGTGCTTGCTTGGAAGTTGATTCACATGCTGCCTTTAGAAGTTGTCAGGCAATTGAACCTACCAGTGTCCTCCCAAAAAAAGAAATATTCATTTGGTTTGACCTTGCATTTAATCTTTGCAGCAGGTTGTATAACAATACTCAGCAGGTGTTGCGTGATCAATTTGTTGCAGCACCACGGGGAATGCATTATTTTTTGCCATTTTTAGTATGCCTCTTGTTTATCTTAATGCTTATGTTGATGAGGGAAAAAAAGCTGATCGTCTCCTTTTTAACTTTTGGTAGTTGATGGTTTTAAAATGATCCTGGTTTATGTTTGGTGCTGGTGCATTTAAACCCAAAAAGTGGAAATAATATTGTGCTGATAACATAAAATCTGAGCTGAGCATTGCGTACAATGTGACTGTGGGCTAGAAGGGGAAGGCGATCGATAGGAAGTGTGAAGTTTTTGATGGCAAACTGGAAAATATGCAAATGTTTTACCTTTTTGACAGGATATCCCTAGAGATAATGACGTTACAGCCCAGGTGCGAGGACGTAGAGACGGCTGAGGGTGTAGCTTTAACCGTCACAGGTGTGGCGCAGGTACTGTAACAGCTGATCATTTTGGAAATGCATGTCTCCGGGAATGGATGCCAACAGTGCCAAGACAAGTCTGCACCCCAGGTTTACTTTTACAGACGTGGTGAACACATCCACAGTTGGTTGCACAATAAACAACTTGCAGAAATTGTTTTGAAATTCACTGATGTTTTATTGAATACTGGAAAGTGTAGTTGAACCTTGGCATGATTTTAAATTTCTTGTTTTAAAATTGCTTTATGGTGAACCTGTCAAGTTATACTATATAAATATTGGTTGTTCAGGACAACATCTTCATACCTTAAAGACCATAAATTGCAAGATTAAGCTAAATGTAAATCACTTCTGTCTGAAGCACAAACACCATGGGTTTACTGTTCATCATGTCTGGGGATAAAGCAATAAGGTGTAACACTACCCAAATTAAATTTCTACTTTTTTTTTTTTTTCTTCTTCACACAAGTAGAGTTTTTTTTCTTTTGGTGGTAGTTAACCACTTCAATACAGGGCACTTTTACCCCTTTCCTGCCCAGACCAATTTTCAGCTTTCAGCGTTCTCGCAATTTGAATGACAAATACTACATGCTACACTGTTCCTCAACAAAACTTTTATCGTTTTTTTAAGAGAGAGCGCTTTATTTTGGTGGTACTTATTTCACAAAAAAATTAAAAAAAAACTCAGTGGTGATTAAGCGAAAAAAGGGTGAAAATTAAAAAAAAAACTTTTTTTTTTTTCGTTCGTTTCTATTAAAAAATTTTGCTATTAAGAACATTTTCTTCATGAATTTAAGCCAAAATTTTTACTGCTACATTTCTTTGGTAAAAATAACCCAAATCAGGGTATATTATTTAGACTTTGTGAAAGTTAGAGTCTACAAGCTATTATACCAATCATTGAAAATTGATCACACCTGATGTACTGACGGTCTATCTCATTTCTTGAGGCCCTAACATGCCAGGAAAGTACAAATACTCCCCAAAAGACCCCTTTTTGTAAAGTAGACCGTCCAAGTTATTTAGTAAGAGGCATGGTGAATTTTTTGGAAGTTGTCATCTTTTTCCATCAGTTCTTGGGAAAATGAAGAAATTATTTTTTTTGTAGTAACAATTTTTATTGATTTTCATATATATATATATATATATATATATATATATATATATATATATATATATATATATATATTTTATTTATTTGAAAGAGAACAAAATAGAAGGAGCACATCGATGGTAAAATCTGCATGGTTACAAACATAATAACATCACATAGCTACCTTGGGGAGGCTATCAGAACAGCACAGTTGGAGAAGGGTGGGATGGGGAGAAATTATCCCATGAGTGCCATACGGCCTCGAACACAGCTGTCGAGCCGGAATGTATAGCAGTCAGGTATTCCATCTGTCGTACATCAGCAATAATTTTAAACAAAGTTGACATCGAAGGCGGTATAGTGGATAATGCTTCTTCTGGCCGCAGTCGAAATATGTATGGAGAGTTTCCTGGACACCTTGGGAAGACCTGGGAACGGCAAGCTCAATAAAAGGTATAGGGGCTCAAAGGGGAGAGAGGTATGTAATAATTGTAAAAAAGACAAAACCTCTTCCCAAAAAGGGACAATGGATCCACAAGTTCAGAACATGTGGAAGAGGGAGCCAAAGTCTTTCCCACAACGCCAGCAGGCAGAAGAAGCATTCAGGTTAAAAGTATGAATAACCTCAGGGGTTTTGTACCACAACATCAGAATGTACCAAAATATCAGAATTTTGTATGTATTTTCTTTATAAAACCACACAGACAGAAGATTTAGATGCGTTTTCCCAAATTTTCTTCCACTGTGTTAGATCGATGTCACATTGCAAAAACTGGGACCACTTGCGCATGTAATGGTGAGTGTCAGAGAGGGGGGTAGTGTCCATTAAGCGTTTGTATGTATTGGAAATTATACCACTTTGATGTGGGCCCTGTATACAAAGACGCTCAAAGGGAGAGGGTTTCACAAGAGTCAAAGTGGGGGACATGGTGGAGAAAAGCTGAAGGTATATATAAAAATGTTGGGAGGGCAGATCTTTTTTCTGGAGGCATGAGAATAGTTGCAACTTCCGAGTAACAGGATGTACTAGGTGGCGCAATTGGAAAAGCCTGGGCTTGACCCAAGGGAGCATCCGGGACACGGCCAAACTATCTGGAAGATTGGGGTTAAAGAGGATATTAGTCAGTGGAGAGCAGTCTGAGGTCAGTGCAAACCTGGTCCTACATTTCTGCCGAATACTCATGGAAAATTGCATGGAGCCGAGGAAGAGACGGTGGAAAGGGGCAAGGTCCACCGCCGAGGATGACCAGAGGAAAGAGCAAGGATGAATCGGAGTTAATTCTAAGGACTCAATCTCAGTCCACAGATTGGGAGGAAACTGGGTGGACCATGACGGAATGAAACGGAGGTGAGTAGCATAATAGGTCACGATATCTGGTGACCCTAGGCTTCCTCTAGAGCGCATGGACAGTAGCAAATTGTGTGCAATTCTATGCCGCTTATGCCAGATGAAGTGTAGAAGGGATTTCTGGAGGGAATGTAGTTTGGACATGGGAACAGTAACTGGTAGAGTCGCAAATAAATATAAAAAGTTTGGGTAGTACAGTCATCTTTATGACGTTGATACGTCCCAAAAATAAGGGTAGGGTATCCCAAATCTTTAAGGAACGGGAAATAGCTATAAATAGTGGGGGGAAATTGGCATCATAAATAGAAGTGTAGGAAGAGTTAAGATTAGTACCCAAATATTTTAAAGAATGGGTGCACCATCGATATGGAAAAGAGTCTTGGAGGGATGAGAGAACAACTGGTGGTATGTGGAATGTGTGAGCGCTTCAGTCTTGGATGTGTTAACCTTATAACCCGAAAGAGTCCCGAATTGTCGTAAAAGTTTATGTAATGCTGGGAGGGAGATTTGGGGGTTCGAGAGAGTAAGGAGAATATCATCCGCAAATATGGATAGTTTGTATTCACGGCCATGAGACATTACCCCCTTTATGTCAGGATGGGCCCGGATTGCAATGACCAAGGGTTCCAAACAGAGGATAAACAATAGGGGAGAGAGTGGGCATCCCTGCCGCGTACCATTCGACATCTGGAAAGGAGGTGAAAGAAAGGAGGCTAGTCTGACCTGTGAGGAAGGTTGAGAATAAAGAGATTTTAAAGCTGCCACGGAAGCCAAACCTCTCCAAGACCATAAACATATAAGGCCAGCTGAGGCGGTCAAAAGCTTTTTGGGCATCTAAGCTCAATAAAAAAGTGGGGATGGAGGACCGGTTAACCAAGTCAACCAGATCAATAGATCTTCTGGTATTATCCGCCGCATGTCTGGCAGGAACAAAGCCAACCTGGTCTCTGTGTATGAGCTTGGAGATGAGCATAGATAACCGATTGGTTAGGATCTTAGTAAAAATCTTGTAATCAGAGTTCAATAGAGCAATAGGACGGTAATTATCTAAGATGGAATGGTCCTTGTCAGGTTTGGGAATCACAGAGATATATGCACAGGAAAAGTTGGCTTGGGGAACAATACCTCTGAAGAAATCGTGATAAAGAGAAGATGGGGAGCTAGGATACCAAAGAAAGTCTTGTAATAGGAGTAGGGAAGTCCGTCAGCAGTCAAAGTCAGCACAGCCAAAGTACTAGTTCAGGTAGCAGGCATGAACATGGTCCATGAAAACTCCTGAGTCATTGCAGACAGCAAGCAGAGATATGGTCAGCACAGCCAAAGTTCTGGTTCAGGTAGTAGACAAGAACATGGTCCATGAAAACTCCTGGGTCATTACAGGCAGCAGGCAGAGATATGGTCAGCACAGTATTGTTGGTCCAGGCAGCAGGAAGTAACATCAGGCTTTAGGGCCTCAGTCATGTAAAACCAGGCCACAGGGGTAGAGGCTTTGTCCCACCCAATCTCTTCAAAGCCTCTGGACTAACAGACCCTGATCCGGGAATTACAAAACCCAGTGAAAACCAAAAACTGTTTTTCTCTACTCTGAAGCCCCTCACATATGTGAGACCGCTGTGTTATCTTGCAGCCCACTGCTACAGTAGCAGGGCAAAAGATCAGTTCACGTGGCAGGCAAAAAACATGGTCGATTTTAACAGGACGAGATCAGTTCAGGTGGAAGGCAGAAAAGCGGTTTAGAAACAATCCAGATGGCAGGCAGAGGTATCGTCGGTAAACAGGCCAGGATCAGTTAACGTGGAAGGCAAAGGCATGATCAATCAAGGCAGCAGGCAAATGATCAGCACGGATTTTAGAAACTGGGAATGGCAGGCTGTTAATAGTAAGAGGAACTAATATTTTAGTGACATCACATCGGATGCAGTCTCTGAAGCATAGGCCTGGTTGGGAGGGGCATTGTGGACAGTAAACACTGTTGTCTTTCCTAACTCCTGCCGCATACCCGTCATTTTTTCTTTTGGTGTCTTCTTCCTGATTCTGTGGGTGGAATGGTTTCTGGAAAATGACACTCATGAAGTCTGCTCACACAATCAGAGAAAAATGTTTTCTGGGGGGGATCCTTGCTATAGACCAGGCCAGTGATTTCTTCTATATATTTGAGGAAGGTGGCGGGTCTTTCTGTTGACTTTTGATGTCAAATGCATTGTAAATGGCCAAATGGAAAAAATAAATAGCAACTTTTTTATACCAGAAGAGGGACTTTTTTTGTTGACAAATAAGGCTGTTGCATCTGGTCATTTAAATCCACCCCCCCATGAACCGATTTATAATAGTGGATACATTCAGGTTTTTGAATGGGACTGCATCTTCCAGGAATTTCCACCGAGGTGTCATTTTGGATGGTGGGCAGGACATAAACATCTCTTATATCTCCACTTTAAGGCCAACACTTCCTTGCTTCTCAGACTTGCGGATTCCTCCCTTTTGTAGCCTTCTGGTTAGTAAACTTTGCGGGAAGCCCTTTCTATTTTTTTTTCGGGTGATACCGCAGTCTAAGGTTTTCTCACAGTA